CTGACATAACTGTAGCTGCTGGGGTAGCTCCGCTGTTGTTTCGTGTGGAATCAACATGAATATTAATAGCTGCTCTTAGACTTTTTGTGTGTGTGTGTGTGTGACATGTAACTTGTAACAACTCTGGGATTCGGTCCTGAAAATAAACTGATGGAAGTTTTATTCTCCTACGGTCGTACTGTGTGAATTGTAATTTGAACACGTGAAATTGAAAAAATAGAGAAACTTTTTTTTTTTGGGGGGGGGGGGGCGCGTTTCAGCTGTTCCTGAGGTCTGCTGCATTGCCATCCAGTGTAGTAGAAATTACAGCAGTGGGTTCAGAAGTGGATAGGATTTGACCCTTCGAAAGCGTAATTGTAGTAGACCTATTTATACATCCATTAAGCAAATAACTTAATGGAAAGGATATACAATAGGTATGCAAAATGTATTATTACGGTGTAGACGCATAAAGCAAAGTGGGTCAGTGAGTTCTGGTCAAAACGGATGATCTCATCAGAAGATAAAACTGTATTTACTTTCTGTGTTTCCCCTCCAACACATGTCGTTCTGATTCTTCTTTCCTTAGAAATTAATTCTTTTTAATTATTTCTGACGTTACAGTAATTGCGCAGGGTATTTTGATCTGCTGGGTTTAGTGATTTAAGCGACCTTTCCAGACTCTCAGTTACTGCGTACTTCAGCTGGGTGATGTCTTTTTGTAGCCTGGGTTGACACTGAACTGTCGAGATGGAAGCTGCAAGAGCCAACTCTGTCCTAGCGGCTAAATTCTTATACTCATCAGATTCAAAAATTTCGAACCAGCATCTTATCACTGTTATATTCGTCTCATAATCAGCTGATGCACTCGAATACGCTAATCCCTTTTTGGAAAGCTTCATCAAGGTTAATACGTTATTTAATCAAAAAAAGGCATCCAGATAAAGCCATTACTTCGTTGTTCTTTAAATGGATTGAATCCTTAGTTGCCAGTTGCTGTGGAAATAATTTATAATAACTTATTCCGAGATGGAAAAGTTTTAGACGTGTTTCGCCAAAATGATACATTTTAACTGTGATATTGCTATTTAAAAAAATCAATAAAACAAAAATCAATAAAACACCAAGGGATTTTCTATTGAATGCTTAATGTGGAGGTCTGTAAAGTGAATTGGTTTCTGTGTTTATTTGTGATACTACTAATAATAACATGGTACTAAAGGACCTTTTTCTAAATTAGGCTTCTGTATCAGTTCGCTGGAAAAAGAAGCTTCCGTTATGGAAGATGACTTTTCTTTTCTGGTCATACTGACCTTTGCTTTTATTTTCCTCATAAAAAGCACTGGTCGCCAAAGAGAAATCCAGGAAATAGCAAAGTGTGCATTTAGCTTACATTCCGATTAAACGGTTTGACATTAATGGGATGCTAGAAAGCCATATGCCAAACAAATAGGGGAAGGATAAAGGCAAAACGTGGAAAGTATTTAAAGCCACTGGATGCCAATTGAGTCAGGTTTCGCGAATGTGTGCGTGAAAGAGAGTAGCGAACTGTGCGCTGGATGTCACCTGCCCAGGATTAATGGCCTGGAAGCCATTGATCCCAGATTGTTTCTGGTCTCTTGTGTTTTGAGCACTCGTCGTGGAATTTTACCATGCTGGGTCCCTTCGTGGAGTTTTCCCATAGACCTAGGCTGACTTTGGACCGTGCCCACCCGAGTAAAGACTAAAAGCGTGTTCCTTCTTCTGACCTCCCTCATGTGGCCAGGATATGTTAATCTTTTCTGACATCTGAAGATGATTTTGAATGAGTTCATTGACATTTCGTACTTAAAGCGGGGAATTATTTGCACCGTTTGGAAGCTATTTACAAATTTTGGAGAACAACCTAATTGATTTTTGAGTAAAAAGGGGAAAGATGCCGAACATGAAACAACTCCCTTCAAAGCCTGCCTTACATGACAGTTATTCAGTCCCTCTTTGCTAGCTTCTGCTCCTCTCAAATGAGGTGGACCTAGCATGTGCTTGTTTACTGAATACTGCACGCTTGCTTAGTTTTTTTTTGTTTGTGTTAATTAAAGGAGTATCTCACTCAAATAGCTTAGTACAGATCATAGATATGTGAAATGAACGGGTCAGCAAGTGCAGCAGGAAGGAATGTCAAATATGTAGTATCTGTGGTTTATATTGATGACCTTCCTTCTTGCCACAGATTACTAAAATATAATCAGCAGAAATATGGTAGGTTTTACAAGCAAAGACGACTTCTGGAAGGCCAGAGGATAAATTGTAGTAACTATAAAGAAGGAGTAAAAGGCTTGGAGGTGGCTTCCTCAGACTGAAAAAAACCTAACAGACTTCAGCCGCTCGCAGTAACAGAACTTTAATATCCATCTCACGGCATTTATTTTATTGGTAAATATTATAAAATAGTAGCTCTTTGCACCATACTTATTACAACAGAACAGACTGTTTATCCCTTTGATCTGGTACTTGGTCCCTGGCAGCAGCCCAGTACCTGGTAGTCGAGGAAGGGAACGCTTCTCCCCGGCCAGCGTTGGTCGCCCGTCGTGCCCTTGCTGTTCCTGTGCAGGGATGCGAGGGGCTGCTCGTGGTGGACAGAGGGACGTTTCTTCCTGATTGCTTCATGTGGTTTTCCTGAAGTATTCAACCTGATTAACCCCTCCTTTATCTTATAGCTATGCATATTGGTAAAGTTTTTGTTTTGGTTTTTTTTCTTTTTTTTAGGAATCTTTTACTGGTAGCTGTAGTTTGTATAAAAATGCACAGTTTTGTTGTCTGTTTTGCATCAACTTTTACTTGCGAGAACGGGCTGCGTGGAAGTGCAGTGAATGGCTTTGTCATTTCCGCAAACCACTGCTGTCCCTGTTCGGATGCTGAGTTCGGTTTTAGGCCTCTGCTCCTTTTGGGGATGCCCGGCGCTGCTGGTCCCGCCGGGGGTGCTGGAGGCAGCCCCCCCTCTCCGCGACGCCAGCCGACACGCGCTTCAGCTCATCTTACTTACTGCTTGCCTGCCTCAGATCTTCTCACCTGGAGTCCGTTCTGAATGTTTGTTGGAAATGATAGTTTTGTTTGATTGCCATTTAGTATTTCTTCTCTTTTCTCCTGTTACTAGATCGTTCCAGCCGGCTGTTTTTGCCTATCACTGCGATCCATCATCTAAAGTGAATTGCGTATGAAGCAGAGAATTGTCATACGCTGGACAGAATTTTAATATTTTCCTTTCAAACTATATCGTAGATCTATTAAATTATTTCTGCAATCTCTGCTGGTCTGGTACAGGTAAACCTCTCTCAGCGTTGCCCGCATTGCCTCTTCGTGGAAGAGCTTTACAAGTTCAGCTGTAAAAATTCATTTCTGGCTGCCAGATAGCAGAGGGAGCAGCCAGAAACTACCGAGTTTTATCAAAATGGTATGAGCCGGTGAACCGAGAGTCCAAAACAACCA